GATGACCTGGTGGATGCCCAACCTCTTTCTGTCATCACTCTAGAGACACTGCATGCAGACACCTTTACACCTCAGGTTACCAGGAGACCTTTGCTTTGAGCAGTACCATGGCTATTCAACTGAATTGAATTACCAGTATTCACTAATGTTTATAGGCCCCACCATTGCTATCCAAAGACAATGGATACCACCATATCAGAAACGTTAAACATCACAGGATTCAAATTGCAATCTCTAGTAAAGGGACCTCTTCTCATTTAAGGACATCATTATTCAAATCTATTCATATCAGAGTATACATTTACATTAGTGGGTGGTGTGGAAAGATGGAGGGAGGGCTATGGCAGATGATAAGAAGGTCCCCATGTTACAAACAACCATTGGAATTTGTACATTCATTTGTATGAAAATAAAAAATAAGCAAAATATGTGTTCACAAGGTGTCAATGAATTAAAGTGTTTGTTCACCAATGCCAGAAGTCTGCCAAGCAAAATAGGTGAGTTGGAAGCTTTGTTGCATGAAGAGAACTATGATTTAATTGGTATTGCTGAATCTTGGCTTCATTCTTCACATGACTGGGCCATTAATATTCCTGGCTATGTTCTCTTTCGGAGAGACAGGGTAAATAGGAAAGGTGATGGTGTCTGTCTCTATGTGAGAAGTGATCACAGAGCGAGTGTGAAAGAGAACCTAGTTGATGGAGAGTGTCATGACGCTGAAGCTCATGGGTGGAACTGCACATGGGGGTGCGTACTACAAAGGTAATCACTGGAGTTTGTTACAGGCCTCCCAGTGTTAATGAGGAGGTGGATCGAAAGGGCTACAAGGGCTGGGACAGTGATAATAATGCAGGATTGTAACTACCCGGAAATTGACTGGAGTAATGGTACTGCAGGAACAGTTAAAGGGCAAAAATTTATAAACCGACTACAGAACAATTTTATGGTACAGTTCATAGAGGCCCCAACTAGGAATCTAGGAATGATGCTCTTCTGGACCTGGTAATCTCAAACCATGCAGAGCTTATTAGGAATTTTGATATAAAAGAACATCTGGGTAGCAGTGACCACAACATGATTTTATTTATTCTTAGCTGTAAACATCAAGCACATACAAATAAAAATGCCCAACTTTAAGAGAGCTAATTTTCCAAGGCTGGGAGTTGTTCTCCGAGACTTAGACTAGGAGGGAATATTGGCATCAATGAACACAACACAGAAATGGGAGTTCTTCAAAAAGACTGTATGTGAACACACTGAAAAATATATTCCCATGGGCAACAAGTTAATTGGCTAAATATCAAACCTATGTGGCTTATGGCCAAAGTTAAAATAGCTATAGATAATAAGAAAAGAGCTTTTATTAAATATAAAAATTAAGGAACGCTATCATCATTATACATTACAAATACTATAACAGAATATGTAAAAAGGAAATAAAGGTCACAAAAATTGAAAACGAACGACAGATTGCAAAAGATAGCAGGACAATCCCCCAAAATTCTTGAAATATAAAATCCACTTGCTATCCTGAGGATTTACCCCCCTTCCTGACCAGGCCTCTTTTTGCTATTCAGAGCTGCACAATTTCAACGGGTAATTGTGCAGTCATGTAAGGCTGTACCCAAACAAAATTTACGTCCTTTTTTTCTCACAAATAGAGCTTTCGTTTGGTGGTATTCGATCACCTGTGCACTTTTTTATTTTTTGTGCTATAAACAAAATAAAATTAAAATGTTGAAAAAAAAAGATATTTTTTTTTACTTTTGGCTATAAAAAATATATAGTAAACTCAAAGTTAGTCATAAATTTAGGTCAAATGTTTTCTGCTACATGTTTTTGGTAAAAAAAAATCCCAATAAGTGTATAATGATTGCTTTGTGTGAAGGTTATAGCGTCTACAAACTATGGTATAGATAATGGAATTTACACAGCTTTTACTTTCTGACTGCCCATTCCATTTCTTGAGGTGCTAAAGTACCAGGGCAGTACAAACACCCCCAAATGGCCCCTTTTCAGAAAATAAACACCCTACGCTATCTGCTGAGAGGCATATTGAGTCCATGGAAGATTTATTTTTTTCCACAAGTTTTTGAAAAATGACAAAGTTTTTTTACACAAAGTTGTCATTTAAATGATATATTGCTCACACAAGCCATGGGTATATGTAGAATTACACCCCAAAAATACATTCTGTTACTTCTACAGAGTATCGGGATACCACATGTGTGAGAGGTCTTGGGAGCCTAGCCACGTGCAGGAGCCTGAAATCCAATGACCACTTTGAAAGCTTGAAGGTGCGTAACGTCTTCATTTCACTTCCTCACTACCTATCACAGTTTCAGAGGCCCGGAAATGCCAGGATAGCACCAAACCCCTCCAAATGACCCCTTTTTGGAAAGTAGACACCCCAAGGAATTTAAAAAGAGACATGGTGAGTATTTTGCAGATCTAATTTTTTCTCACAAGGTTTTGAAATATATGTTTTTGTTTTCTTTAGTCATTTTCCAAAAACTTGTGGTAACAAACAAGATCTGCAAAATACTCACCATGCTTCTTATCAAATTCCTTGGGGTGTCTACTTTTCAAAAAGGGGTCAGTTTGGGGGGTTTGGTGCTATCATGACATTTCAGGGCCTCCGAAACTGTGATAGGTAGTCAGGAAAAGTAATGAGGAAATAAAGCCCTTTAAAAGGTGCTTATTGGATTTTGGGGTCCTGTACTTGGCAGAATGTATTTTTGGGAGTAATTCCACATATACCCATGGCATGTGTGAGCAATAAATCATTTAAGTGACAATTTTGTTTTTTGTGTTAAAAAAAATAATTTTTTTTTGTCATTTTCCAAAAACTTGTGTTAAAAAAATAAAATTCTTTTATTGACTCAACATGCCTCTCCGCAAATAGTCTGGGTTGTCTACTTTCCAAAAACGGGTCATTTTGGGGGGTGGGGGCATTTTATGCCCAGCATTAGATGTTTATGCCGCCTATCACTCTCTCTTCTAACCACCTGAAGACCAAGCTTTTTATGACACTTTTTGTTCACATGAAAAAAATCTGTAATCTATATCTGTTTTAGCTAGGAAATTACTTTGAAACCTCAAACATTAAATATTTTTTTAAAGCAGACACCCTATTGAATAATATTATGGGTGTTACAATTTTTTATCAAACAAGAGATCCCTGTGCTCAAATCCATACAGCTAGTGCATGCATTTATCCATCAGGTGCTAAAGGGGTGTAACCACATTAACTCTAGAAATTCTGAAGGACCCTCTGCACACTGGTATATACCCTTTCAAGCAAACTATGCAACAAATAGGGATATTTGGTTCACACATATTGCAATACATGTTTAAGCTGGCCAACTGCGTCAAAGTAATCCCTCTATGGCCAGTCCTACTCTGCCCTGCCTACGCAAGTGCTACTGTGGACACAATGCTAACATAGGGGAAAAGACACAATGGGGAGAGCTACAAGGTTCAGGTCTGGCTACTGACCCAACAATACAACAAACAAGAGATCCCTGTGCTCAAATCCATACAGCTAGTGCATGCATTTATCCATCAGGTGCTAAAGGGGTGTAACCACATTAACTCTAGAAATTCTGAAGGACCCTCTGCACACTGCTATATACCCTTTCAAGCAAACTATGCAACAAATAGGGATATTTGGTTCACACATATTGCAATACATGTTTAAGCTGGCCAACTGCGTCAAAGTAATCCCTCTATATATATATATAGGGTATATACCAGTGTGCAGAGGGTCCTTCAGAATTTCTAGAGTTAATGTGGTTACACCCCTTTAGCACCTGATGGATAAATGCATGCACTAGCTGTATGGATTTGAGCACAGGGATCTCTTGTTTGTTGTATTGTTGGGTCAGTAGCCAGACCTGAACCTTGTAGCTCTCCCCATTGTGTCTTTTCCCCTATGTTAGCATTGTGTCCACAGTAGCACTTGCGTAGGCAGGGCAGAGTAGGACTGGCCATAGAGGAATTACTTTGACGCAGTTGGCCAGCTTAAACATGTATTGCAATATGTGTGAACCAAATATCCCTATTTGTTGCATAGTTTGCTTGAAAGGGTATATACCAGTGTGCAGAGGGTCCTTCAGAATTTTTACAATTTTTTATGTCACATAGTAGTCGCACAGCGATTTTTCAAATGCAAATTCTTTGAAAAAATACACTTCTTTTTAGTTTTAATGCGCAAAAACACAATATATTGGCCACTTATTTGGTAAAATATAAAAGATGATGGTATGTCAAGTAAATAGATACCAAACATGACATGCTTTAAAATTGCGTACGCCCCCTGCAATGGCAACAAGCTGCATACAGTTTTAATATCCATAGGCAATTATTTAAAAGCCTTTACAAGCTACCATTTTAGATTTACAGAGGGGGTCTAGTGCTAGAATTAATTTCCTTGATCTGACGTTCGCGGCGATACCTCACATGCATGGTGCAACCGCTGTTTCCATACTGGCACAGGGTCAACGATCACGCACGCAGGTGCATGCGCAGGGGGGGCGAGGGTGTTTTTTTTTTTTTAAAACACTTGCCTACAGGGCACTTATACTTCCTTCCTGTCCAGGCCAATTTTCAGCTTTCAGCGCTGTCACAATTGCACGGTCATGCAACACTGTACCCATATTAAATTTTTCTCATTTTTTTGAGACAGATAGAGATTTCTTTTGGTGGCATTTAATCACCTCTGGGGTTTTTTATTTTTTGCTAAACAAACCAAAACCCACTGAAAAGTTTTTTTCTTAGTTTCTGTTATAAAATTTTGTAAATAAGTGATTTTTCTCCTTCACTGATGTGCGCTAATGAGGCTGCAGTGATGGGCATGATAGGCTGCACTGATGGGCACTGATAGGCGACACTGATGGGCACTGATGAGGAGGCACTGGTAGGTGGCACTGATGGGCATTGACAAGCATCACTGATGGGCACTGAAAGGCAGCATTCATATATGGCACTAATAGGCGGCACTGATAGGTGGCACTGATAGGCGACACTGACTGGCACTGATAGACAGCACTGACGGGCACTGCTAGGCGGCACTGATGAGCACTGATAGGCGACACTAACTTGCATTGATAGGTGGCACTGAAAGGCAGCTGAGACGGGCATTGATATGTGGCATTGATGTGCACTGGTAGGCATGATATATGGCATTGATGTGGCACTGATTGGCACTGGCAGGTGGCATTGATGAGCATTGACAGCTGGTATTGATGGGCACTGACAGGTGGCACTGCTGGGGCTACACTGATCATTAGGGCACACTGATCATCAGTGCCCTGATGATCAGTGTAGATGTCCCCTCTGAGGAATGACGATTACAGGCTCTCCTCTCTCTCCTCACGAGCTGTCAGCGTGACAGCTCGTGAGGAGAGAAATGCCTATAACCGGCATTTCCTTATTTACATGCAAGCAGCTGTGATTGGACACAGCTGATCACATGACAGAGCCGATGTCTTTGGCTCTTTCCGTTGATCGGTGATCCGCTATGTCCGAGGGACACAGCGCACCACCCTTTGCTGCGCTGCTCACCCGTGGAGCCGCATGCACATGGCTAGAGTGGGAGGACATCATATGACGTCCTCCCAGAACGAGAGAACCGCCTTGTGCCGGTCATTTCCTTATATGGCGGGCAGGAGATGATTAGCACCATTCCGGTCCCCAATCAGCTCTATGGTCAGCTAGCAGAAACACCGGCTGCATTCTCAGGTTCCCCTGATGGCACGGGACTATCCGAGAAAGCTGTGGAAGGCAGCGGGGGGGGGGGGGGGGGGGGGGCATCTTTTCCTGCTGCTCGTAAAAGCAATCCTGCAGCTAATTAACCACTAGTATATATATAACCTTTTTGTGATGTATTACAATAAATAAAATAAATTAAAACATAAAGTGTTCAATAAAGGTCACAAAAATCCAAGTGTCCAAAAAGAAAGTCCAAACAATGTCCAAAAAAGTCCCAAATTTTCAAACTTTTTCATCAAATAAAAGGATTGACTCTTATTCCATCCAGTAAGAACCTCAAAATAAAAAGATACGAAATCTAGTGCATTACCTTAATAAACAAAAATAATCACCCAGTGCAACTCTCAATTTAGTGCAAAAAAAAATATATGTTTATATAGTAAATGAATAAATTATTCAAATCAAAAATGCTTTCTTATAGTGCGCATAATCACACAAATCAAACTGTGAGCACTCTGTGGTCACTGCAACTCTGTGCACACCATCAACCAGCACACAATAGTACTAAATACTATTACCCTCTGTGAGTATTGAAAAGCTTTAACAATACTATGGATCAGAAATCCTCCATACTCTCTTCAAAGGCATTTTTCCAAGGTCCTCAGAAAGACAAGAATGGTCTCAGGACTGATATTTAAAGCATAGGGATAAATTTAATAATCACTTACATTTAAAACATAGAAATTTTAGCTCCAGACATGGCTCTTAAGCAAGTTCCACCAAACAATGTAGAAAACCATGTGTGGATAACCGACAAAATGGCTGCGGCGACACTTCCGGTCTGCGCACGGGCGTCTTGACGTCACTTCCTAACGCGTTTCGTCACTTCCGGACTTCGTTTTATACTTTGTTTCTGGTCTCACTCCCATCCATTAAACATGCACGACACATCAGTCACATGGTGCTCTCTGTCATCACGTGCTCCGCCTGACATACGTTCACTGGTAGAGGATCAGGCAGGAGAGGCCCAGGAACAAAGCGAAATATAAGACAAGAGGAAGACGAAGAGGAATACGGGTCAACAGACAAAAGAAGGATGTAAATAACATAGGCAGTTTCAACCTGAGTAGCATAACATTAACAGACAGGGAACTTAATTTATTAAATAAAGGCTTAAAATTTGCTCCATCTGCCAAGCTCAATAAATTTAATACTTACATCGATATACATAGGTTTACAAGAAGGTTATCCCTTAAGAGATACTTCCTGAATAACCCGTACAACCACCGATTCAGACATACTGTAAGTACATTTAAGACCTCTAACTTGAGAAATGCCTCGCTTTTCAACCCCCCAGCACATTCCCACATAATTATTTTAAAAAATATGGTTCTCAAGGATCTTGAAAATTTAAAAATCAAGACTAGGCACAGCCAATACTATAACCAGAAGCAAACTGATGGTTAAAAACCTTCTAGAGAATAATGATTTGGTAATTTGGCCAGCAGACAAGGGTGGAGAAGTAGTTGTCATGGATAAGAGCAACTACCTTTCATAAGTATACTACATCCTAAATGATAAGGTTACTTACGCTGAGTTACCAACTAATCCTCTCATTCCATATAAGAAATTATTAAAGGTAATACTCAAAAGAGGGTTTGACTTGGGGATCCTAAATAAAAAAGAAAAGGACTATCTCTGTCCTGTGGTCCCCAAGTTACCAGTACTCTATTGTTTACCAAAAGTCCCTAAAGATCCCGTCAACCCCCCAGGCCATCCAATAATCAGCGGTATAGGTTCTCTCTGCTTCCGTGTGGGAGAATATAATTGATTTTTTTTCCAACCCCTTGTTTGCAGCACCCCATCCTTTCTTAAGGATACGAAACAGGTATTGATTGACATTAGAGGGGTTACTTTAAGACAACCCACCTTCCTAGTCACGGCCGATGTCGCCGCCCTATATAGTAACATCAAATATACAGATGGGTTAGCTGCTGCTGAGTACTACCTAAATACAGCTGATGATATATCAGGTTTACAAAAAACCTTTATATTAGAACACCTCGATTTTGCTATGATTACTTTTGGTTCAGCAACAAGTATTATCTGCAGACTACCGGCGTTGCCATGGGCGCTAAGTTCGCACCCAGTCTAGCCAATCTTTTCATGGCACAGTGGGAGGAGGACCTAATATATTCTAGGGACTGGCCACAACTGTTGTTCTACCGTCAATACATTGCCGATATTAAATATTAAACTCACCTTCCAATATAACCACCAAGAAATTAACTTTCTAGACCTAACGCTTTACAGTGATGGTTCAAGAATCTCATCAAAAAGCTACTTCAAAACAACCGATAGAAATAGCTTTATTCCGAAAAACAGTTGCCGCCACCACCACAAATGGCTGGATAACATTCCGAGGGGGCAGTTTCTCTGTATTTTTAGAAACTGTGATAAGAAAGAGGATTATGTCTTTCAGTCGGAGATCTTAAAGCAGAGGTTTATAGAAAAAGGATATGATGCTAGTACCCTTGATGCTGAGATGAACTCAGTTGGTAACACTAATAGAGCCGATCCCCTCACCAATAAGCAAAGAACTCAAACTGAAAGGTGTTGCCCCTTCATAACCAATTTCTCAATTCAATATAGGGATATAGCCAAAATCATTAGGAAAAATTGGATTATCCTAAAAAATTACCCAATCTTAGGGAGATACTTATCAGATACCCCTGAAATCACTTACCGCAAGGCACCCTCTCTGAGAAATAAACTGGCTCCAAACATAGTCAATCCGCCCAAACAGATATCATTCTTTTTTAACTGCAAAGGATTCTTTCCATGTAACAGGTGCATTTTGTGTGTACATAATAGCATTCATAAAAACCTGGTCAAAACCTTTTGTTCAAATATAACAGGCAGATCATACGACATTCAGTCCACTATCACTTGTAGTGTACCTGTTAGAATGTTCATGTGGCAAACAGTACGTTGGCAGAACGACTAGAAGACTTCGAGACAGACTACGCAAACACTTAAAGAATATAAAAAAGGGTTTCAGAGAGCAGTCTCTCTCTATGCATTTCCACCAAACACACAATAATCCACACTCCCTGAAATTTATTGGCATCGATATGATTCAGAAACATTGGAGAGGAACATATCAACGAGATTACTAAAACACTTTCCCCACAAGGGTTAAACACTGATTTGGACATTAATTGTTTTATAGATACTAGCTAAACCTCTTCACTGTGTTCTCATCTTGGGTGGTATCCCAGCTTCTAAGGCATTATTACCATCTAGTGTCACATTTAATATTCACCATTACTGTTACAGCTTTATCATACAGCACATGTGTATTGCTGCGAATCTTGACAATATATGTTATATGGCTGTTATTATTTTTTCAATTTGTGTTGGATTGACGCATTCCCAAAGCCCTGCATTACATTCATGACGTTTCCTTCAGCAGTAGTTGATTTATCCTTTTAGTAACGTTTTTTAATCCCTAGCCTTGAGATTTATATGCATATTTTTAATGGGCCTACACATTCAGATATATGGATGCTGCCATATATATTCCCATATATACTTTGAGCTTTTATGTGGCTACCCGGGCTCAAAATGATATCGGTCAATTCTATTTGTTTTCTCTCAGTTTTAACCTCCTGATTATGATTGAGACATTGACATGATTTGATTGTAGCATTATTTTAACACTGATTCTTCTATCAGTGCAATCGTTCTATCATTTTTTAGGGATTTTTTAATAATTTTAAAGAATTTTTATTTTCGTTACAACCATTTAATATCAGAATTACTTCTTTATTATTTAAAAAGGTGAATTTCACTTAATATAGTCTGCTAAAAAAGGGGATAAATAAACCCTTCCCTTCCCTCCCCCCCGCTCTCTTTTTTTTTTTTTCTTTTTTCCTGTATATTATTTATAGTGAATTTGCTTATACTTGTAGTCCTACCCGATAACACAGTGGGAACATCTCTGGTTTCAGAGTGCTTATCCTGTGATTTTTATGTCACTATCATGGTATTCCCACTTATATATGTTCATTAACTCTTCCCTGGATCGCTAGTGGTATATTACTATAATTTCAAATATTACTACTAACGATCTTTGTTTGTTGTTCCTAAACAAGTTACTTATCTTTCTTCCTCCCATGATTTGTCCCTTATGCAGGGATATTGTGAACGGACTCCAGTAAAATGGCCGCCATGCATGATCTGCGAGAGTGGACCGTGATGACGCGAGAGCATCACACTGCGCACACACGCGGGACCCATAGAGCCAAAATGACGGGAAAAGCGTCATTTTACACCAGAACTTTACTCACTATAAATAGAAGTCATCCAGAAGAGGCACAGTCCCTTTGATAATGTGCAATAGACACGAAACGCGTTAGAGAGGTGACACCACACATACAGACATAGCCCACATGGTTCTCACGTCTGACCGGTGGCCATTTTGGATTTCTCTGTAATTGTTGGAACTTTTACTATGTGAGTTCATTATATGTTTTATTACACCTTTTGAATAAAATATACTACACTATCAGATACCTCTCTCTTGGGCTTGTTTACTCTGCGAGCCCCCAAGGTGATTCCTGACACACGAGAGTGCACAACATCCCCCTGGTGGTTGATGACAGAAGGTGATCCTTGATAAAAGTGATTGTGGAATATCCCCCTGGTGGCTGCCGACGGTACACCTGGAGATGACACAGGGTATCTGGAGGTTGCTGAACTGATGACCATCCTACTAGCAGTGTCTCTGATTCAGTGACCAGGAGTAGGTCTGTTTACTCCAAAGTGCTATCCTGGTTAGTGCAATCA